GGAAAGAGGAAAAGGCCACAGTGACCAGTCTTAATAGGGAACCAAAGGGGAGTTTTTGGTGCGCTCATCAGCAGGTCTTCTCCAGATTCACCAACTGGGTCCACCTCCAGAACAGCTGCCAGCAGTATATAGATGCTCCCCATGCTCATTTGGAGCTGCAGTTGCTTATCTCGTTGCTCTTATTCATAGAATCACAGAATGGTTTGGGTTGGAAGGGACCTTAAAGATCACCCAGTCCCACCCCCCTGCCCTGGGCAGGGACACCTCCCACCAGCCCAGGTTGCTCCAAGCCCCGTCCAACCTGGCCTTGAACACCTCCAGGGATGGGGCAGCCACAGCTTCTCTGGGCAGCCTGCACCAGAGTGTTTCACTGCCCTCGCAGTAAAGAATTTCTTCCTAATATCTTATCTAAATCTCCCCTCTTCCAGTGTAAAACCATTCCCCCTTGTCCCATGGCTCCCCTCCCTGATCAAGAGTCCCTCCCCAGCTCTCCTGGCGCCCTTTTATGCACTGGAAGGGGCTCTAAGGTCTCCCCGGAGCCTTCTCTTCTCCAGGCTGACCCCCCCTAACTCTCCCAGCCTGTCCTCCCAGCAGAGGGGCTCCAGACCACATTATTCCCAGTGTTTGTCATTAATGCTGTGATCAGGCCCAGCAATCGTCATCACAGAGCAGCTGTTCCGTGCTCAGGACACAGGACTGTCCCTTGCCCCGTCGAGTCACTGCCCCAGGAACATCACAGCACCCCAGGCCATTCCCACCCAGCGTCAAACACAGCTCCAAGCAGTGCCGGGAGGTGCGACTTCTTCCCCAGTGCCGGCGGTATGGGCTCCACTGGGAGCAAGCTGGTGAAGCTCAGTAACGGCAGCAGGAGGGTTGTCTCTGAATTATTAGATGTATCACGAGACATACTCTTTGCATTTCCTGTATTGTGTTTTTCTGCGATTATTAAAATGATATATTAATCAAAAGCCGGAGAATTCCCAGTTGAGCACACAGAGTGTAAAAGTAATGGCATTGCTTGGTAACGCCAGCGGGATCCCGGGCACCTCGGTGCCGTGTTGGTCTCGGTGGGGGCGGCGCCTGCCATTGCTCGCGGGAAGCACAGGGTTATTTGGGAGCCTGCCCTGAGCGCTCCCAAGTCGTAACAGGTTGGATTGCTTCCCTGGAAACCTCAGTTTATGGTGCTTGGCTTGGTGCAATTGCGCACTGTCTAGCGTCTTTTAAGTCTGAAGTCTAAATTACACAGCATTTTGACATTTTTCTTCTGATATCACTATGGATTAGAGAGGTAGACCCCATGGAAAGATGGGTGAAGGGCTGCCAGTCAAAGGCACACAGCAGTTCCTCAGAGCTGAGCTGCCCTGCACAGGATTTTAAAGTGTGGCAGGTTATGTCATACGTATAGCTCATACGTCTCTTACTCCTCGGTCTCTGAGCTCCTGGAGGTTAGGTGGGAGTCCGGGGTTTGATTTCTTTATGCCCTTGTGACTGTAGGTGTTACCTCCCGCGAAATCTGGGCAATTTGCACATCTGTGGTTGTGGGTTCCTTGTGTTGGTTTGTTGGTTGTTTTTTTTTTTTTTTTAATCCTCACCATTTTAACTCGCTTTCGTGGCTTTGTAAGACCCATTCTTGTTCTGTAGCCCACGACTTAGCGCTGCACGACATACCACGGTGATTTTGCAGTGCCTCCTGAATTTTGCGGCTCCGGGACGCAGGTGCGTTGGGGGGTTGGTGCCGGGTCATATCGCAGCAGGGGCTGCACAAACCCCCCTTTCCCGCCCCCCTCCCCCCCGGTGAGCCTGGCACTTCTCTAAGGGGTATCCCCGTGGGATGCGGGGGGCGACCGGTGGAGATCGGTACCTCTTGGACCCCGGGGCCGGTGGGCTCGGGGCCAGTGGGGAGATGCAGGGTGGGATGCTCCAACCTGCACCTGGACCAGCACCGTGCACGCAGCCCCGGCCAATTTTAGCGCCGTCCACCCTGACCCCTCCGGTCGCAGAGGCTCCGACAGGCAGAGTACCCTCTCCCCATGCCCAGGAGGGCCAGCAGGGGACATTTTGCAGCTCCGAGTGAGTGGAGGTGCTGCTTGTCTCCTTTGGCCATCCATACAGATGACCACATCTGAGCAAATCCCCTACGCGCCTTTATGGTCGGCAGCAAGAAATGGGCATGGTGCATCTCCTCCTGAAGGACGTGGCTAAAAACAGCCTGGGGTGAGTTGCGCTCCCTTGAAAGACCTGTTCCTGCAACCCACTTGGACATAAAAAGGTGATATTGGCATACTCGGTGTTCAGTGAAGTGAGCCCCGTTCTCCCTCTCCCTCACAGCTGGATTTCTGCAGTGAGCAGGGAGGGGGAAACGTCATCTGGCTGCTTCCCAGCCTGCCCCGTGCCCCAGCTCCTGCCAGCCCCGTGCTGAGGGGGTGCCCCGGTTCCGCGCTGGGGTACGCAGCAGCCTGAGGATGGGAGCGATGCTGCGCCACAGCCCCTGGGGCAGCGCGGGCACGGCCAAGCGCGGACAGAGGGCGAGTTGTGTCCCTGGGCTGCTCTGGACAATTCCTCCCCCTGTTTTTAAATCTGCCCTTTTCTGGGGGGATGCTGTTGCAGGATTACCTGCAGGGCAAGGCAAACCTTCTGGGCATGCTTCTGGATGGACCACAGACACAAAGCCTGCCCTGAGCCTCCTGGTTTGTGCCGTTGAGCCTGCTTGCTTGTTTCCCACCCTACCACACGCTGATGCAGTAAAAGCCGTCCAACATCCATACTATTTACAGGCTTTTCTGTACCATAATCCGTGTGCTTCATACATCACGTTTCAGTCACAGGGGAGGAAGCCAGTCAGCTTTATTAGGAAGAGCTGGGAGGGCTCATGTAGGGTGGTGGGACTCCCAAGAGGGAGCCAAGAGCCAAATTGCGCTTTCCTTCGACCTCCTGCCATCCAGCACGAGGCCATCGTCCCTCCACCACTAGACTGGAAAATAGGATGCAATGACACACTTTCCAGGCAGGGATGAGAGCGGTGGATGTCATCGTGATGGTGAATGCAGAGGAATGAGGTGCAGCTGTGGGCAGCTCTGCCACGCCAGCAGGACAGGCTCACCTCCACGGGGCTTCACCCCAAAAAACCCGAACCCAGTGCCACCAGCAGGAGTGAGACCCACAGCTTGTGTCCCCTTCTGTAGAATGCTCTGCAGAGGTCTCTACCCAGACCTGGTGCCTTGACCCCGTCCCCTCTCAGCTCCCCACTGCCAGCGGTTTGGCTCAAGCTGATGAATGTTTTTCCAGGGCTCACTGAGGATGTGGTTACTGGGACCTTTTCCTCTCCCTTCTCATTCCTGGTACTTCCCTACCTGCTTTCAGTTTTTTCACTCCTTCCTTTGGCTTCTCCTCTGCAAATTTATCATGAAGGTGTTGAGTTTGGTGGCTGAGAAACAAGAAGCGCCGAATGTTGGAGGGCACCAGAAGGTTGCTTTTGTTGTGGTCCCTTTGCCGTGCCCCGAGTGCTGGCAGGGAGCACGCTGGCAGAGTCCCACACCCCAAGGACTCCCACAGTCCTCGCAGCACCAGGACCTGTGCTGCTGGGATGCTCTGCCCCAGAAGTCAGGCGCTGTGGTCTCACAGGCTGCTCTGGCTGTGCATATCGGTGATTGGGACAAAGTCAGACTTGAGTGCAGCCCCCAGAAAAGTACAAACTCCACCTTTCTCTGGGATGTTTTCCTGGTGGACCAAAACTTTGCTGGTGATCTGCTGCTTGTGATGTTCAAAGCCTCACTGGCACTTGGACGGGGCCGTGGGCTGTAGCAGTGGTGGTGATGCCCACTGCAGTGGTGTCTTGCACCCTCTGGGCAGGTCCTTACGGCACGGTTTGTGGTGGGCTGGAGCCACCCTTGCAGTGCTGAGCCCCAAGAACTGAGTTTCCCTTTGCTTTTGTCCCGCAGTCGCACCCGCTGTCCCTGTGCAACACCAGCGAGGATGAACACACTGAATCAGGATTCATCACCATTGTCAAGCTTGAACAGCCGGATCGGGATCCCAACCCCTGCCTGTCACTGGCTAACAAGGTAGGTGCAAAAATGCCCCCAGTGGCACCAGTCTGGGAAGCGAAAGCCATGGTGCAGGAAAGAGGGAGGCAGCAGGGGAGGGAAGAGCTGTGGGAAGGAGGAGGAGGAGTGAGGCAGCAGGGTAGGAAAGAGCTGTGGGAAGGTGGAGAAGAGGACAAGGATGGAGCAGGGTCCTTGGCAGAGGAACTCTGGGAGAGACACTGTGCCAGCCAACCCCAATGCCCATCCCTCCTTACGTTTTTTACTGCCTGGCTCTGTAAAAGGTGTGGAGTTTTCCCTAACCTGGCTGCTGCGGGACAGCTCAGACCTTTCCCTGGCATCCCGTACGCTTTACTGCCCAGCAGCCTCATGCCCCTCCTGTTCTGCAGCCTCCCCGTGCTTGCTGGCCTGTTGGGGGGATTTGTGTTTCTGTCTGTCCTCTGCCCTGCAGAGGGAAAACATGGATACAGAAAACATCTTCTGTGGTTCTGTCTTTAAAAACAATACTGTGATACTTCAGTGGATGAAGCACATGAAGAAGCGGCGCTGAGCAATTCAGACAAACGCAAACCAGATGAACTAATGGTGGAATGTGACTCTAACAGCACGGGCCACCATCTGCCCTGCAAAGAGATGGGAGATCTCAGAGGTCTCCTGTGAAAGAGGTACCATAGTGAAACAGCCATTACTGTGTTAAAAGCTGAGGTCGCTGGTACAATTCTCTGGTAATAAGGAAGTCAGGTAGGAACGAGGGTCATTTTAAGCCTTAAAAACATTGTGCCTCTGATAAAGTTGCATGGATAAGGCTAACATTAGCTTTTTTCCTAGCGGTTCACCGTGTCTTTTTATTGTCTCTGTACAAAATGTTGTGTTATTTTCCACAAGTGCTTTACAAACATTAAAAAAAAAACCAACAACCCGTTTAGCTCTTCTTGGCTTTATCTGGATTGCATTCAGGTGATGCCACCTCTGTTGTCTGCTTTCTGCTAGCAGTGACATGCTGGTGATGGGGACAGGGACCTTTTCTGTCCTCCCCGCAGCTCAGCTGAAGAGGGCAGGCAAAACTTGGTCCAAGCAGTTGTTCCTGCATAGCAGGTTGGTTCTTTTTTCACAGAGGCTGTGGCAACAAAAGCAAGGGGAAGGGATGTGATGCTGCGATGGATTTGCCACCTTGGGGCTGCTTCTGCTTCCCCCCCGGCTGCACGGGCAGGCAGCAATGCCTGTCCCTTTCTGGACCAGGGTGGAAGCCTGAGTTTGGTTTGCTGCTGCCCTGGAGCTGACGCCAGCTGTTGGCACCAGCCAGTGTGCTGGAGTTATCGACCTGCTATCGGTTGCCCCACATCTGGAAAATGGCCATGTCCCACCTGTGGGTGTTAGCGACACGCGGGGGTGGTGGGATAAAGAGCAAACCCAGGGGCTTCCAGTGCAGCTTGTGACAGACGTGAGAGCATGGGCTCTGCGGATGCCTGAGGGGCACAGCTGGGTGGTCCGGCTCTCCCGTGTCCATCCAGACGTGACCATGGCGTTACGGTGGTCCCAGGCTGCCACATCTGGCAGGGGAGGATGCTGGGGGTGGGGGCAGCAATGGCGGGTTTGGTCAGTGAAGCTACTGTGGAGGATCTTGAACGGGAGGAAGGAGCAGCATCAAAGACTTGTCTTCCACTTAAGAACCTAAAAGGTTTAAAAACTGTTTTGCTAGTTTTGTCCTTAGTCTTTGAGTCTCTGATCACAGCACTGGAAGTACCAGTGTGTTACTGGGTCCAGGGATCAGCTGAGGAAGGTCTGCACAGGGAGGACAAGACATGCTGCATTGCGGTCATCCTCACTCCTCCTCTCCAGGACCACTAACCCCCCCCCGCCCCAGGCAAATAAACCCTTCCGTTCATTGCTGTGCTCATGACTTGACAGAGTGAGAGTTCACTGGCCTTTAGTCATCACTGCTTTGTTACCAGAGCTGAATCCAACTCTGGATTCTGAGATCCAGCTGAACGTGACGTCAGTTGCCATCCTGCCTGCAGGTAGTCCTGCTCCAAGATCTCACCCAGGGAGGCTCACAGCTCTTCTCCCCCCAGACAGGACTAGTTTAACCGTGAAATACAGGCAGATGCTTCTTAAGCTGAGTGCATTCCCGGGCCCTGCCTTGTACCTCCATCCCCCTGCCATTGCTGTCTGGCTGCTTCTCCATCCTGCAGGCTCTGCCAAGCTCCTTCCCTCCAACATCATACAGAACCCTTCCTCAGAATCCCTGGACAACACTTCTCCTCCAGAGCAGGGATGAAGCTGTGGGATGTGGATGGTGCTCGCTGGAGCAGGAGCCTTGTTTTCCTTGCATGTGCTTCTTGCGGTAGAGCTTTGCATGTTGAATTGCAGCGCTGTATCAACGATGATAAAAAAAGCCATGTGCAAAGTGTTATCACAACCTCTGCTTTAGCTGTCACCCAGCCAAGCAGTGCGCACAGGCAACGCCGTCCAGCCCAGCGGGAGGATAACTCCACCTGAGCCTCTTCTCTGCTTCTCCTCTCTTAAATTCTAGCGCTGCTTCAGCATCCAAAACTCAAATTAGTAGGGAAGGTGTTTGGTCTGCAAGGGGAGAGGAAGGCGTGGAAAATACCTCTGGAATCAATTCAAAGTGATTTATTTTTCTTTCTGATGCATCATCTGTAAATTTTTGGGTGTGGGTTTTTTTTTTTTTTTCTGAGTGAACCATTGATTGCAAGTCTGGTTGACAGATTGCTGAAACCTCCTGAATCATCTTGTAAATACAGATTTGCACCAGAATTGTTTCAGTCCTCAGAGAGGGGGTCGGCTGTGCCCTGTGGCTCAAGAGATCCGATGCAAAGACAGCAAGCACTCCGAAAATGGTTGCAGCAAGCAGGTTGTGAATAGCGTGGTTTTTTTTTTTTTTTTCTGAGTGAACCATTGATTGCAAGTCTGGTTGACAGATTGCTGAAACCTCCTGAATCATCTTGTAAATACAGATTTGCACCAGAATTGTTTCAGTCCTCAGAGAGGGGGTCGGCTGTGCCCTGTGGCTCAAGAGATCCGATGCAAAGACAGCAAGCACTCCGAAAATGGTTGCAGCAAGCAGGTTGTGAATAGCTTGAACAGAAGTTGTGTCCTTTGCAACAGGAGTCAGAACGATGTGGGGAAGAGTCTTTTGTCCAGTCTGAGCTGTTCATTTCCCCACCGTAGGTGTCTTTAGTGGGATAAAATCTTTGTAGAGCTGTTCGTTGTTTGTCAAAGCTTGACTGGCTCCTTTCAGGTCACTACCTGAAAGACCTATTTCTTCTTCAGTGCTGGCAAACGCTGGGGCTCCTTTGATCCCAGGCAGGACCCCAGTCTCTGATCTCTGCCCCGAGCCGCTGATCCCACTTTTCCAGCTTCCCCATCTGGTATACCGAACCCCAGAGTGTCAAATCCTATCAGCAGCTCAGAGCCTTCGGCCCTGCCTCTGCGACCTCCATCTGCACCTCCATTCACATCCTCATCCCTGTCCCCAGACCCAGGCACCCACCTCTGGCACCCAGCTTCTCCCCGATGAGGCGCGTGGACGTGACCAGCGCCTGCGAGCGAGGGATGGAGCTGAACCTGCTCTGCCGCTGCGCTGCGTGCTGCGCCGGGAATGCCCCTTCCCTTCGCTCAGCCGGCGCTCTGCCTTTGATACCGCAGCTGGGAAGCGGCGGCACTGACCTCTGGCCCCTGAGCTGGGGTTTGGCGAGGCAGCGGGTAAACTGCTGCCGCAGCTCCGGCAGCTCCCTGTTTGCACAGGCGCTCGGGGACGCGCAGATCAAAGGGCTCCGCATGAGTAAGAGCGGCCCAGCCCTGCACTTTGTTCACGTTCCCCCGGCTGCCTTTCACAAGAGGCTGCCTCTGCCTGCCTGGAGGGCTCGAAGGGCTCAGTGGGAGGACGTGGGTGACCCCACAAGATCCTGCAGGCAGTGTGCTTTGACCTCACTGGCCTGGCGTGTACACTCATTTGTGGGGGGTCTCAAAGCTGTCCTCTGCGGACCGCAGCAAGCGGGAGGCTGTAAAAAGCCATCCCGCTCCTAACCCTAGACCAGACCTGCAGCCCAGGCATCGCCTGAGCTTCTCCCTGATGGACACGAGGGATGGGGACCAGGGAGAGCAATGTGTGCAGGAGCAAGGCCCATAGACAGCCCACAGCTGGTGCAGCCACGGTGGGAAGTGAGGACCTGCAGAGGTTTCTGCTGTCCTGGGACGGGAGGGTTGCGTAGCGATCAGCGGCGTTAATGGGGCTGCAAAGCCAGCTCTGAAGCAAAGGGGCACATGGCACAGGCAGCTGGGGAGTTTGGTGTTTGGGTTTGTGGGTTGCTGTGACTGCAAGCCCACCAACTAGTTTTGCCCCATAACTATTGGGAGAAATCGTCCACGAACCACAGAGCTGTAGCAAGAGCAGGCGCTGCAGCTCAGCACGGGTACAGAAACCAAGGTGTGCGCTATTTTCTCAATGTAAGCAGCAGGTGCTTCTTTCTCCTGTGAAGAGCCAGGGAGGCAAACGCATACCCAAATGGTAGATGTTAATGCAGATGTTAATACAGATGTACAGTACAAAATGTTCACTGAAACTTCTGTTCTTTTGGACAGGCAAAGCTGGCGGGGGAGCGTGGAGCCCGTGCAATCCTTTTTGACATTACTGATGATGAAAGCGCTGCTGATCAGGTACAAACCCCGTTGATATTATCAGCTAAACCTGTGCCCCTCTCCCACCCCAAAATGTGCCCACCTCAGGACCCACTGGCCACCTACACGCAGCGGGAGGTCCAAGGAGGATACTGCAGGCTGGCTTTGAACCTGAGCTCTTGCCCAGCTCACGATGCGCGCAGCAAGTGCTCTTCTCTTTTGCTCACTCCATGGCACGTCCCCATCTCCCCCCAGCACAAGCAGGCCAGCAGCTTGCAAACAGCACCTTGCTGCTCTTAAAGGACATGGTCTGGTCAATTCAATCAAGGTTTTCTGCCAGGAGCTGGATGCTTCCGTTTGGGAAGGCACAGATTACCCGATCCCAGACAGCTCTGGTGTACCTTAGGGGAAAGATGGTTTATAGAATCATAGAATTTCTCGAGTTTTCAAGCCAAAGTCATGGCCACCCTGCTATGCTGTTGGTGATACTCCTGCTGCAGGTTTATCGTTGGTTTAGAGCCCTCCAGAGGTTCCTTCCATCAACGCTGCTGTCATCTCTGGAAAGGAGTAGGTTCCCTGTCAAAATAATCGAGGGATAAGGAAAAGCATCCGGCATTAGATAAGAGGATGGATCTGGGAGCTGTTGCCTGAGCTTATCAAACTCCAGACTGACTCCTGCTCTCTGGATCCATCCCTCGTGGTTCTTTCATGCACTTATAGCTTAATTTCTGATGCCAGAGAAACGCAGCAGCAAGTGTGGGCCCATGAGGTGCCACTGAGGTTGTTCAGTAAGGGTATGGGAAGGGGTTAGTGGGTCAGACGGCCACCCTGATTCAGGTCAGGTTGCAGGAATGGGTGGACTTGGACACTTGCTGAGCCAGCCCATGCCAAGACCGTGGCGGAAAAACCACCGGTATGATCAGAAACAAACCGAATGTCCTGCAGATCACAGAGGGAGGAGGGGGAACACTGATGGGTCTCACAGGAAGAGAAGAGGAAGCAGTTCTGTAGTGAAGGCGGTGCTCGGCAGTGTCATTGGCAGTTGCCATGTGGAAGAGGAGAGACCAAGAACTTTTGCACAGGGGCTTGAAAGAGGAGTACAAAAGACACTGAGCAGTGCCCAGTTGTGCATGAGGAGGCACCGTCAGAGGAAATGAAGAAAGCCGTGCTGAAGAGTTGGTAAAAGAGGAGGAGCTTCCACCTGATGTCATCATACAGGGATAGTGCAAGTTTGGGGGAGCAGTCAGTCTCTAGAGTGTGTGCAAGAAGCATCAAGAGGAACCAGACGTGCCTGGGAGGGTGGGATAGTCCTTGATTCAGGCTGTTCTGGACCATCTCACACCATGTTTGTTTCTTTACAGCTGAGAAAGCCCAGAGGTCTGAGTCAGCCTGTGGTTCTGATCAGGGGCCACGATGCTGAACTTCTCATGGGCGTCGTGAACAAGAACAGAGAGGCCCACGTGAAGATAGAGGTCAAGGAGCCACCAGCTTGGGTGAGGGAGACACCATTCCCACTGCCTTCTGTATCCTCCCTCCCAAGCTGCTGTGCCATGGAATAGGATTTCCCCAAAGATGCTGAGCTTTCCTCCCAGGGGACAAGGCTCCTCCTTTGCAGGAGCTGCCTGTCTGCAGCATTCAGATGATGTGCTGCAAATAAAGGCTCAAAAGAGCTTTCAGCTTATGTAGCTTCTTTTGCATAAACATCAGGAGGGAGGTGAGGGGTTCCTTTGTCTCTTCAGGTAAGACCAAGCCTTGATTTCCTCATCTTGTGCTACCTTGGACCATGGCCTTTAGGGAGCTGAGGTGCTGCAAGAGAGAGGAATTCCATTCCTGATGGAATGTGCAGAAAAGACTGAACACTTTGTCTTTTACCTGTAAAGAGCAAGGAGGTAGAGCTTGGCCAAGGATCCTGTGTTCACAGGCTGACGGTCAGGAAGAGATGGGGATCCCCCTGCCTAGCCTCTAATTCCCACCACTGCCACACAAGAGTAATTTCTTTCCTGTTTTATCCAACAGCCGGACTACGACGTCTGGATTCTTCTCACGGTGGTCAGCACTGTGGTCGTCATCATTTTGATTTTTGTTGTCCGCACAAAGTGCCAGCTGAACAGGACTCAGGTAGGAATCTCACAGAGCAGATGTCTCTGAGCAAACAGAAGCACATGAAGGGCAGGAACAGACACAGTTTGGGAGGCAAAATGTGCCTCTGTCAACTGAAGATGTGGCCACATGAGGCGGGAGCGGCGCAGGGATGAGCAGAGTGATCCTGCGATGGGCTGGCAGCATCCCTTGTGCGGTGGCCTTGCTCTCCTCCTGCCGCCCTACCAGCACTGCAGCCTGCAGTCCCAGCACCTTGCAGAGCTTGTCCCAGCACCCAAAGCTGCAAAGCTGGTCCACAAGAGAGTAGAAGATTTTAATTTTAATAGAAACTAACAAATTAAATAATCATCTTTCCAGAGTGAGATGTGTTTCCATATTTGAGAATACCCCATTTGTCCTACAGAAAGACAAGCCTTTGGGGCTCAAAAATTCAGCACTGCTGAGTGACTTTGAATGGCCCATGCCAGCTGTCTCCTGCTGGTGACAAAGCTAAGTCATGTTAGACAAAAAGTCACCCCTGGAAATGAGTAGCGCCCCCAAATTCCTGATAATCCTATTTTGAAAACAAAAGGGCAATGGGCAGTACGGCAACGTAAGGCTGAGCCTCTCCTTAAAGCCTCCTTTCTCCCCGGCAGGACTCCTTGCAGCAGCAGACCATGCAGGCCATCGGGCAGCTGGCCACGCGCAAGTACCGGGGAAGGTGCCGGCAGGCAGCGCGGTGGGACTCAGCCAGCAGCTGCAGCTCAGCCCCAGTCTGTGCGGTTTGCCTGGAGGAGTTCAGCGAGGGCCAGGTAGGCTGTGGGCACGGCTGCTGGTTAGCCACGGCTCGGAGCTTCCCAGCCACCGTCCAGTGGGAGCTGAGCAGTCTGGCAGGGGCGGGAGGCCCTTGGGATGTTTCCTTCAGCAACTCCGGAGGGCTGGGAAAGGACTGGCATAGATGGAGGTCTCCTTGCCCCTGAGCTAAAAAAGCCCTTCCCCTGATGACGTCACTGGCCTGCAGATTCAGATTTGCTGAAGACAGGTCTCCAGCTGTCACTGTAGGCTAAAATGTCCATAATACATCTGTGTTGAAACAGCGGGGCAAAAGTCGGGTTTGCTTCTCCAAAGCACTCAGCCTGAAACCCCGCTATTCCCAAGGGCGAGCACCTCTCTCTGGACCTTCACAGCCCAGAACTGGAGGCAGCGAGCAGGCCCAGAGCTGCCAGGCTGCTGCACAGCCTCCTCCAGGCAAAGCTGGGCTGCAGACAGCTTGCGTTAGACACCTTTCCATCCTACAAGGCTTGCGTCCATTGAGAAGGACTCATCCAGGCCTTGGGACATGGTTCTCCTTGCTCACACTCGTCCTCTTCTCTCCACCTCTCTCTAGGAACTGCGGATCATCTCGTGCTCCCATGAGTTTCACCGGGAGTGTGTTGACCCCTGGCTGCAGCAGCACCACACATGTCCGCTTTGCATGTTCAATATTCTTGGTAGGGCTCAGACACAGCATTTCCCGGCCAGGGATGGGGTTGGGTGGAGGGGTTGTGCCCAGGAGGTCCACGTACCCTTGGGTGATGCATACAGTTGGTGCGTCAGTGGGAGCATGTGCCTCTGTGCACATGGGTGTACAGGGCAGTGTGTGCATGGAGAGGGGTCCCTGTGCGTGTGAGCCCCCATGGCATACAGCGAGCTGCTGGGCTTGGGTGGGAGAGCTTTCCAGTACTGCGACCTGTGGAGAAGAGAGGTGGGATTTGAGGGTCGGGGCAGCAGGGAGGGTGCTGAGTGTGCAAGACCACCAGGATGGTTTGGTGGTGGCAGTGAGGAGTTGCAGGGCACGGGTGGGATGTGGGACCGTAGTGGGGATGCAGTGGAGGCTCGCAGGTGCTGGAGGTACTGCAGCTGGGCTGTGGCACCTATGCTGGATGCTGCCTTCTCTCTCCACAGCCAGAGACTCAGTGGACCAGGCCACAGCTGCTGGCTCCAGGCTGGCCCCTCGGGACATGGAGCCCGGACGGCGTCTCCACCTTTTCCGCCAGCACCCGGGACATGCCCTTTACCACCTCCCACACGCGTATCCTCAGAGGAACCTCAGGAGCTTTCCCCCGGAGCCAGCCCATGGCAACCCCTTCTTCCACTCTCCAGAACTATCCCAGCTGGATTTTGGCACCATCCACTACATGCCCTACAGGCCAGCCACCTCCCTGCTGGCCTGTGGCCACCCGTCCCCCCTGGCCCCCGGCCTGCTGGGCCAGCCGCATA